CAGCTCATGAGCCCACCACCCGTGTTCGCAATCCAAGTCTCTTGTTTGAAGAGCTCACTATGTGCCAAGTAATATTTAACAAACACAGATGAGCAGTAGGAGGCGAGGGGAGGAACCCGCGTGCCAAGATGTATCGGAGGAGATTTTGAGGGAGCACTGGCCATGACTCAGCTGCAGCGGAGAAGGCAATGGGGTTGCAGAGGAGAAGAGTCCAGGGTGGAGTGGGTGGGGAGGGGAGCGCTGCCCAGGTGTCACCCCCAGGGGCTGGCCAGTTGTGACATTGTGACACTTCACACACAGTGCCCACAAATGCGTCTTCCTTTCCTGTTAACTCCATCAGTCCGCAGGCCAGCAGCATCAACCTAGTTTATTGAGGATAACGCTGCCATGACACTTCATGATAATAAATGCCTGGGGTTTGTTTCACCAATAAGAAATACATTCCAGTTCTCCCTCCAGCTTGCAAACGTGAGTTAAAGTCCCTTTCTTGCAGACAGCACACAGATGACATAATTTGTATGGCTTGGGTCAAAAGAAAAATGTGTGGCTCCTGGTCCAAAAAAGATATGAAGGGTTCCAGAGCATGGCAGCAGAGCAGCCAAGCCCAAGTGGACCTTCATAGCACGGGGCTGTGTGTGACAGTCCAGGCTGTGTGCGACAGTCCAGGCTGTGTGCGGCTGAGCCAGCCCTGAAGGAGGAGGACAGAGGGCAAATTTCTCCCTCTGCTCCCATCTGCATCTCTGTCCCCCCCGCCCCCTGCCCGGGACCTCAGCAGTGTGAGTACCAATCACTGAACTTTGAGGGCTGAGCAGCTTGCTGGAGCAAGTAGGATGCTAGATGGCAGTGCCCGCTGGTTCTGAGCAGAGAGCGGGGTAGAGTGGACAGCAGGCTGGGCAAGGATTCACAGTCCTGGCTTCACTCTCAGATCCTGTGGCTAATCAGATCCGTGCGCTTGCTCACAGGAGAGGGATCATCAGGCCTTCTTGCTCCAAGGGGCTCCCAGGATTGAAGTGGCCTCTGGCTTGGGCAGGCAGGACTCGGCTTGGGGATCTGGCAGCTGGCCACTCTCTTGGTCCCAGAACCACACGCCAATGGGTGGCGGGAGGTAAGGCTGGAGTCACCAGCAGGCAGCATTTGTGGGATGCTCTTCGTGCTCAGCAGTGTGGCAGGCGCCATCGTCACTGCGGTGATGGTGAAAGAGAGGCTGATGTGAGTACCAGGAGGGATTACCCCTCTCTGAGTATTTCCCACTTCCCAGGCCTTGGAAGAAGAGTGTGTGAGAGAAGATTCCCATGTTCCTGAGAGGTATGTAGAACATCCATGGTTGTTCCCCATCTCTAAGGGAAGTAGGGCTTCCACCTTGGTGAAACTACTCGTCCCAGATGGGACTGGTTTGTGGGCCCTGTTCGGGGGACATTGCCCGCATTACATGAGGGAGGACCCAGCCAGCCCAAGTATCCCTCCTGTCCCACAGAAAAGATGGGAAAATTACTCTGTGATGCTTTGTTTAAACCACTCAATTTTTGATAAATTGTTGCATAACTGTAGAAAATGAGTATGTGTGGTAATGTTTTACTGTCATTAGTAATAATTACCCCTAACCTAGTGTCATTTGTGCACCTGCCTTGGTACTAAGATGTGTTCTTTTAATTCTCAGAGCAGCCTGGTGATGGAGGTGTTTTGAAGACCATTTTGGAGATGATGAACCTGTTGGTTCGAGAGCACAGAATAGGGATAGGATGAAGGGTTGGAACCCAGCTCTGTCTTACTCTAGAGCTCCTGCCAACTAAAGTCAAGGGCAGTTGTCTTCTGTGATTCCTGCCCTGCCTTCTCAGCCTCCATTCCAACTGTCCCACGGTTTAGTAACATATCAAGACCCTACTTCGTGCTTGGATTTCCCCTTTTTCATTCTCTTTTCTGCAAAGCATTTGGTAACTGCAGCCAATACTATGTGTGAGTCACTGGGTGTCAAACCTTCCTTCAGAGTCACAAACCACCCTGGGCCTTGAACAGCGTCCCCCTCAAGTACTGGTTAAGCTTGATTGTGTCAATTTGACTGGCTCAGGACCTGCCCAGAGGATTGGTGAGTACATTTCTGAGTATGGGTGGGCTGTGGAGGAGTGAACATGGGTACAATATCTGATCCCTCATTCCTTCCTCTCTGGCATGGCTTCGCTAACCTACTTCCTTGCTGCCATGAACTTAGCTTCATCATGTTGTTCCTGCCTTGAAGCCAGGCAACCATGGACTGAATCCTCTGAAACCATGAGCCAAACTCTTTCCCCTCCTTTAAGTTGTGGGTGTCAGATATTTTGTCCAGCTAACTCATATACCTCATCAGTCACCTTTGCTGCCACCTGGGCTGAGAGTCCCGAACTGGGAGCCCTTCAGACCCAGTGGTTCTTCCCAAGGGTAACTGTACCTGGTGCACACAACACCTGACTAGACACTGACATTGATATGTGTGTTCCTTTTCCATGGTTTTGTAGCAAATTAGCATACATTGGGTGGCTTAAAGCAACACAGGTTTATTCGCTCAGCATTCCCAAGGGGCAGGAGGCGAGGCCTTCTGCTCATGATCGCACCAGCTTAGGTGAAGGTGGGGTTCCCTTCCAAGGTCTCCATTTGTTGCAGAATTCTCTTCCTTGTGGTTGTAGTCCCTGTTTGCTTGCTGGCTGGTGACTAGGGACCATTGTCACACTCAGAGACTGCTGCCTGGCCCTTCCTCGGAGGCCTCATTCACAGACAGCTCACAGGATGATCCTGTGTTCAATGCTAGCAGGAGACTCTTTTAAGAATTGTCTCATCACATGTACAAATTCGGCCCATATCCAAAGCAAGAGGACCCTGACTCTACCAGATAGGCACACTGCAAAATGGAACCACTCCAGGCTGCCCAAGAGCTGCTGAGCCCTCAGAACCAAAGAGACACAGCTACCTCTGAAGACTAAATGTCTCCAAGATAGTAGCATGTGCCTGCTAGCATTCTTTCTTTAATTTTCTGCAGTACTAGATATTGAACCCAGGGCCTTTATACTGAGCTGTATCCTCAGCCCTCTTAATGTTTTTTTTTAAATTTTGAGACAGGGTCTCACTAATTTGCTAAGTTCCCTGGGCTGGCCTCTACCTTGTGATCCTCCTGCCTCAGCCTCTCCAAGTACTAGGATTACAAGTGTGCACCACCTCACTCAGCTTGGTGATATTCTTTAAGATGCCCAGGGAGTCTTCGTGGGGATGGTGGCAGCTGCAGAGCGTGGGCCCTCTGAGGCAGAGTGTACTGCTGGTGGTTTTGGCCCCCATACTAGAAACACTTAGGACCTTTGCTTTCGGTCTGCAGCATCCCACTGTCTGTAGAAGCACGTTCCCCCCATTCATTTTGCTCCTTTTATGTATACTAGGGCTCGGGTCAGTAGCTTTTCCCCAGTGCAGTTCACTATGATGAGTGTTTGCAGTTTTCCTCCTTCCCCCTCTTTCTGACAGCAAGTGCTTATTGCTTATGAAGGCGGCTCTCTGGAATCTAGGTATTGGGCAGATAGCAGAGAAGATGAAAGGAACCTGAGAGCTTCACAGGCCAGGTGAGTTTCGGGATTAAGGACACTGCTCGGGAGGTGGGTGGACTAGGACCACAGCCACTTTCTTCACTTACGAGCCGGGTGACCTTGGGCAAAATCTTCTCTCTATACCTGTGTCCTCACGAGTGGCTGCAAGAAGTTTCTACCTTACATCATTTCTACCTTTCAAAGAAGCTGGAATTTCTAATTAGCATTTTAAAATTATTTTCTGTTATTAACATTCATGGAATAAAGAACGGTAAGAGATTAGGTAAGACATGGAACAAAACATAAGAGTTTGTCAAGTTTGGGGTGGAAAGGAGGAGCTGAGAGACGATGAGTTTCTTTTTGAGACAGGGACTTGCTACATAGTTCAGGCTGGCCTTGAACTCACAGCAATCCTCCTGCCTCAGCCTCAGGAGTGCTGGGAGTACAGGTGCCTGAAGGTGAGTTTCAAGAAGTGTCTTGTGATGTGAGAGAATTTAGGAGGAGCAGAGATAGCAGAGGACTTTTAAAAGTTTACTGGGCTTTAACACTTTGTTTTGTAGTGTTTCATCCAGAATCTGTGTGCACGGATTTGACATGTTCTTCACTACTGTTTCAGGAGAATTTCTTTAATACACTGTCAACTTAGACTGGGCTATGTGGGCTCAGAGACATAACTGGGTTATGTGTTCACCAGGTCACAGCCAGGGTCCAGTGAATGCAGTTGTGACTCGTGGATTGTGCTGGGTCTTATGAGCTACATGCAGTCTCTGCCCTCAAAAACTTCACAGTTTGGACATATGTCAAATACCAAAGAGCGATGTACATAATAATAGCTAATATTTATAGAGCTCATACTGCATGCCATGACTTTATAATGTTAAATTGCAACTAGTTGCTACCTTCTAGGAATCTCTCAGTCTAAACCTGTAACAAATACAATATCTAGAGATAAAGAAAATAATAATAGCTAATATTTATTACATGTTCAATATATGCTGGATCCTATTTTAAGATCCTAAATGGAGCAATCACCCTATCACGTAGGTAGCATTACCATCTCTGCTCTATAGGTTGGGGAAGAGGTCAGGAAAGTTACTCAGAGTGCCAAGCTAGGCCGTGGTAGTCCTAGCGCTCACAGGCCAGTGGTCTGCCTACAGGTCCCTGATTAGCTCTGCCTGCAGGAAAACAGTCCAGAGGGACAAGAACACAGGTTCAGAAGCAATTCTGAGAAAGGCATAAATAATTTTGTCTGGAAGAGATTCAGGGAAAGTGGCACAAAAATTAAATTTTAAAAATTTAATCAAGGTACTAGGACATATATTAAAAAAACATCAAATGGTACACAGTGGCTTACAAGAATGGCAACAACCCCGCCTGCACCTTGGAGGCCACTGCCTTTAGTTGTTTCCCTGTTTTGATTCATTTTCTGGATATTTCTGCAAGTCGGTCATTATCTGTTAGCTCCCTGCTTTAGGAATGGGGATTTAACTCACTTAGGTGTTGTCCTCAACTTGTTACCAACTTCTTCCTTGATATTTTTGATAATTTCAATGTTCTAGTGTATTATTCCAGAAATGTCTCTTGAGCCCCTCCAATGTGTAATGCATTGTTTTCGGCCATCAGGAGTCCAGAAAGAAGGTGTTTCTGCCATCACGGGGCTGAGGTTCTAGTGGGGGGCTAATAAAGGAACAAGTAGATTGAAAATAAGCACCAAGAAAGGAAAGAAAGCAGGGCCAGGGATGGGGCTGCAGTGACTTCTGGGAGTTCTGTGTTATGGAGTCAGTCTAGGACTGATTCCAATACAAGATGCCATCAGGTCCAAGACTAGAAGGAAGTGCACAACGGGGTCCTGTGGCTCTCTGGTGGCTGAACATCTCAGACGCAGGAGTAGCAAGTTCAAAGGCACCAGGACTGGACTGTTTTGCATGTGTTTGAGCCACAGCCAGGAGGCCTGGATGCTGACCAGGAAAGATGACAAGAGCAAGTGGGCAATGAAGACAGCAGGCCATGAGGACCAGGTACGTAGAACCTGGAGTGGCAGGGAAGACTGGCTCTTACTCTGAAGGAGACACTAGTTTTTCAAATGGAGAGGCCCTTAAGCAGAGAGAGGGCATAGTTTTATGGGTTTGAAAGGAACTGTGCTATTTGGCTTTCTGTTGCTGATAAAAATGGGTGAAACAATTTATAAAGAGGGAAGATTTATTTTGGCTTCTAGATTCAGAGATTTCAGTCCAAGATCCCCAGGCTTCCTGCTTTGGGTCTCTGGTGAGGCAGAATGGCATGGCACGGGCCGAGCAGTGGAGCAAAGCCAGTCACCTTGCAGCAGCAGGGAGCAGGGAGAAGAGAGAGAGAAAGGAACCGGGTCCTACTGTGCCCTCCAAGGGCCACACCCCTAGTGGCCCAACCCCTCCACCAGGCCCTGCCTCCTTAGGGCCCCACCTCCTCCCAGTAGCACCAAACCTTCAGCACAGGAGCTTTTGGGGGGCGGGGGGGCGAAGACATGGACATCCAAGGTCCAAACCAGAACAGGATTGCTGTAGCTGCTGTGTTGCCAATACTCTGGGAGCGAGGGCTGAAGCAGAAAGATCTGCTAAGAAATAACAGGGCTTAGGTCAGGGTTGTATAAAGAGCTGGAAAGTTCTGGTTTGCCAACATGGTTTTGAATGTTGGAGTTTACAAGATTTGCTGATGAGTCAGATAAGGGGGAGAAAAAAAAGAGAAATCAAAGACCCCTCCAATGCTTTTGGCCCTGGAGCCGGGAAGGATGGAAATGGAGCTCACGGGGTCAGGGAAGATGGTTTTCCATGGGCTTGGCTGGGTGGAAAAGTGGGGAATTCAGTTCTGAGAATGTTAAACTTGCAACGTTTAGTAGACATCCAAGTGGAGATACTGACTAGACGGTGGGTTGGAAGAGTCTGGGAGCTCATCCGGCTGGAGCTACACACTTGGAAGTCATCAGTGTAGGGTTGGCATTTCCAGCCTCGATGACGATGATCTTATCAGATCAGGAGGAGCGAGCCACCATGACAGGCAAAGTGCTTCCAGTTCTTCTCGTGGCTACCTTTGCAACTCTGAATGCCACCTTACAATCTCTAGTTCTCCCTCCTTTAGCCTGTGGCTTTGGGTCCCAGCATGAAGAATAATGGCTTCCCTTTCTCTCTTCCTCCTCCTCCTGACTTTGGCCAACCACACTCAGATTTATTATAGTCAAGGTTGACAACATTTACATTCCTCTCTGTAACCACCTTTTAGTCTCTACTCTGTTAGGGCCGTATGTGGATTCTCAAAGGTAACAGAAAAGGAAAGAGCATTTCTGTCACTTGTAGTCATATGGATTTTGGATACTGCTAAGCCAGGAAATGAAAGGTATATTTCCTTCTTTGCTGGCTGGAAGTCATCCATTGCATACTTACTGATTGTTTCAGGGGCTAGAGGTACACAAAACCGATTGTCTGCCCTCATCATATTTACCTTCAGGTATGGACCTCATATCATTTGACTGTAATGTTTTAGAGTTAATATCAAAGGATTCTTTTAAAGAATTTTTATTGGTGCATATTAATTATAAAGAATATTTGGTTTTGTTGTGATATTTTCATTCACGGATAAAACGTACTTTGATCATACCAATCCCCGTGAGCTTCCCTTACTCTTCCTCCACCCCTTTTCTCTTGTCTAAGAGTCTCTTTTGTTTTTTGTTTTTTTTGGTATAGGGGATCAAACTCAGGACCTTGCACTTGTCAGGCAGGCGTGGCACCCCTGAGCTAAATCCCCAGCCCTAAGAGTCTCCTTTTAAAAATAAGTTTAAAAAATCTCTTATCAGCCTATTGCTCTGATATTAGAGTCTCTGCACCAGCCTTTTTTTGGTCAGTGTTTCATGATATATATTATGAAACACTACCAAATATATATATATATTTCTAAAGTAGATGATCTTCTCTTACAATTTATCGCTTGTTTGAAACCATGTCACACTTTAGGTTTATTTAATTTCACTTTCTTGTACATTTTGTGTTTATCTTTTATTCTCCTGGACTTTCTGTTTGCTTTGTTTTTCTGTATTATGAGAAGTTTACCCAATGTGCAGAATCTTTGTTTTTTTTGAAGTCATCTTTCTTGGAACCTTCAAATTCCTGTTCTAATTTGAACTAATTTCATCCTAAGCCAACTATGAAGCTGCCAACTTGTTGTCTATGTCATGTCCAGTTTGTTTTACTTCTTCCACATCTTTCTCTTTCTTGCTTCCCATCTCCATTCTGTTGGAGTACTTCTCAAGTAAAATTTTCAGAAAGAGAATATGGAAAATGAGCTTTTGAATCAGTACATACTGGAGTCTTTATTCTCATTGTTGGCTGATAGTTTGGATTGACATTTTATTCTAGGTTCTCATAATCAACATTTGAATAGTGTTTTGAAGAGTAATAAAGAGTTCAAACAGGGAATAAGAAAAGGAAAACAAGCCAGGTGTGGTGATGTAATCCTAGCACTTTGGGAGGCTGAAGCAGGAGGATCACAAACTCAAATCCAGCCTGGGAGATTTATCAACTTAGCAAGACCCTGCTTTGAAAAAAAAAATCAAACAAGGGCTGAAGCTGTAGGTCAGTGCAATGGCCTGGGTTTAATCCCTAGTGCAGTGAAGAAAAAAGAAGCCATTCAGCCATTCACCAAGCAGAGTTTATTTATGCAAATGTACCAAGGCATGAAATAACAGTATGTATTGGGAATCGAGTAATTCAGTATTGCAGGGCATAAAGGGAAGGATTAGATCAAAGAGAGAAAGTATGCAAAATCAAACTGAAGGGAAAGGCTGGTTCAGATCCTAAAGAGTCTTCTCTGCCATGCTAAGGGGATTGATTATAATACTGAAGTGAAAGGCAACCTCAGATTAGTCTTCATTGGGGAAATATGACACAGAAAGGTAGAGTGTTTACAGGCACAAGTGGATGGTGGCAATCAGGTAGGAAGAAACGGGTCCCACACAAAACAAGGAGCTCACTAGGGCAGTAGGGGAGAATCGAAAGTAACCAGGGACAGATCATATGGGCTGTTGGGGACTTTGTTCTGGAGCAATGATTAAGAACTGAAGATTCTGAAGAGAGGGATCAGTACTGTAGATTTATGTCCTAGGAAAGTCACTGTGGACGTGGTGCAGGAGAAGGAGTAGGTACGGGTGGGGAGGGTGGGCGAGCCCATCTGCATGCTGTTCATTGCCATGTGGAATCTCCCATGAGAGCTGATGGCCACGTGAGCTGCCGTGGGGAGAAGGGCATGGATCTGAGTGATACACAGAGGAAGCATTAAAAGGCAAATTGCGATTGGGCAGATGTGGGGATAGAGAGAAGAAAGACAGGAAATTGTGGATTCTCAGACTGGGCAGGTGGGTGAAGGCACCGTTCACCTGGGAGACGATGCTTACAGGGGAAAACATCACAGTCTGGGATTCAGCTTGGCCCAGATGTGGATCCTGGAGCCCTCTCTCCCTTTCCTCTTAAATTTCAATCACTTTTATCTGTCCAGTGAAGCAAAGAATAAACCCGGACCTAACTGTTTGTCCTCCCTTCCCAACACTCCATCTTTGCCTGGAAACATCTTCTTTTGGCTCCTGGCTCCACAGCAAGTCTTCCAGACCCTCAAAATTCTCCATTTCCTTCAAACACAGGGCCTTTACACCTGCTGTACCCTGGTCTACAGCAATTCTCCTTCCTCTTTGGCCATGCTGCACTTACTCCTTCCTAGCTCAGAGTCAGTCACTGTCTCAGGGAGGCCTATCCCTTCTCCTGACAGCTCTGGATTCTCCTTCCTGTTACTCTGCTCCTTTACCAATAAGGGAGCCACTGATTCAATCTACGCAGTGCGTTCATCTCTGTGTAACTGTCTTCTCCACTGGAGTGTGGCCTCCATGAGGGTAAGAACTACGTCTGTTTCACCCACTGATAATCCCGGGCAGCCTAGAGCAAATGTCTATGGAAAGAATGGACAGGAACAGCGTCCTACAGCTTCACTGTGGCTGTCGCCGCAGAGGCTGTTCTCCTGGGAGAAGTGACGTTTCTCAGACGATTCTCAGCAGCTGTTGGAGAAGTTACATGACTAATTTCCAGACAGCGATTTACCACAGGCTGCACCGAGCCCCCCGACACAGTCCACGCAAGACTGTGCCTTCCCGGCCCCTAGGAGGCACTGCTTCGAGTTCTGACTGGGGAAACCATACTTCCTGCTGGGTCACGCTGGGGCAGCAGCCAGCAGGGAACTTGCAGTTTAGCTGGGGACAAGGGGGGACATGTGCACAGCTGAGGGCCCCTCCTGCAGCACCTGCTGTCTTGTATGCCATGAGCTTCCTGAGTGTAGACTGGATCCTGCCCGTGATTTCCTCCCGGATCCAGTTGAGTGCTGAGTGCATAAGACAAGTTCAATAGGTAAATATTAAATAAGCAAATGAATATATTAAGATGCTGCTATTGATTTTCTATCCATCCCCCTACCTGCCCATCCGTCTTCTGCCTCTGGTACACATTGGTCCAGAATCTTCAGAAGCAGATCATAGGACATTTCCTGCAACGCTGTGCCCCAGCTCTATCGACCAGTGCTGGCTGGACAGGTAATCTCTCTTATCTGGGGGCACGTTCTCTTTCCTTTGAGATTATGAGCCCCAGGGCTTATGGGATCCAGGAAGGCTGGGGATAGGCCTTGGTCTCTAGTCTATTGCATTTTGTTCCCACTGCTTCCTGCTTCTGACACTGAAAGCTACTATAGGTAGCTGGCTCTGCCGAAGCACCTGTGTTTGCCATGACAAGCTTGGTTGTCACATCTTGGGCTCATCCTTCAATGCTGTGTACTGAACACCCAGCCCTTCAGGACACCCATGCAGCCATCCCCTTGTGCTGCACCTCAGGAAAGCACCTGCTGCCTCCCCACAGCCCTTCACAGTCCTTCCCTTTCAAGCCCAAGTGCCTCCATGTTTTCCTTCTCAGGGCCACACCTGCCAACTCACTGACTTGATGGTTAGAGTCCTGGAAAGTCCCCTGGAAGGAGCCAGCCAAGTTCAAGAATGTAAAGACCAGCCTGCCCTCAAGGGGTGAGGAAGAATAGTCTCCTCCTCCCCTGCTTTCTCCTTCTGTCTTCATTTCCTCTCAAGACTGGCATACACTAAGCCATTAAGCAAGTTCACTGTCAGCCATTCTGCTGGATGTATAAACAAATACAATGAGGTCATATGATTAACTGGATTTCATCAAATCTAAAATAGATCAATTGTAAGTCATGCCATCATCTTACGTTCCAATAAAAAGAAATAATGTACTTATTAATAAGCACTGTTGATCACATGAGGCTTAACAATTTCAGAAGTGACAATATGTGAAAGAAAACATTTTTAGAATCAACAAAATGTAATACTATATTATTTTGCTCCTACCCTTTTAAAATTATAATTTGCCTCAGAGATCTTTCTATGCTGATATTACAAGGATTTATTTCATTGTTAAAATTTTTCTATAGTATTCCAAATAAGGAGATAAGATAATGCGTGTGATCATTCATCTAGTGATGGATATTATTTTTACATTTGAGAACCATGCGTTAATGAAGATTCTTATGCCTTTTTGTATATTTTCTGAATAGGTTCAGTTTTTAAAGGTAGGATTAGTAATCATACTGAATTTTGCTGTCATTTTGTTCATTAAAAATACCTGTTATAATTGTGCGTGTCTGAGTGTCCATTTCCTCATGCTCTTATTAAACATGGATAACATCCATATTTTCCATTTTCCTCATCTAACTGGCCGAAGATGATATTGTTGTAATTTGTACCTCTATGATTGCCCGTGAAATTAAACATATTTTCAAATGTCCGTTAGTCGTTTTTATTTTTTTCTGGCATTTTGACCTATTTTACCAATTGATATAATTGTATTGATTTATAGATGCTTTTTATATAATAAGACTAATACACTACATGTATTCAATGTATCTTTTCTCCCTGTTAATTTTCTGTAACTTTTCCCATGCTTTTGTTATTCTTGTTGCTGAGGTGTAACTTTTTATGTAGCCATATCTTTTATTGCACTTCATGGCTTTTAGATTTTGCATTGCCTAACATGTCTTCTAGAATACAGGACTATAAAATTATTATGTGCCTGTGTGCATGTGTCCCCATCTAAGTATATACATACATTCAACATTTTGAAAATAAAAAGAATTTATTTTTGTATGCATCATAAGATGGGAATCTAACTTTGCTTTTTTCATGTCATTAGTAGTAAATTTTCCTAATGCTCTTTGTTGAATAGTTTAATCTTTTTTTCTAATAGAAAGTAATCATTGTTATAGATTGGTATCTCTTCCCGGAGTTTTTGAAATCTGCTTCTTTGAATTATTTTTCTCAATCTTTGTGTTAATATCACAGTATTTAATTACTGTGATTTTGTACTTTGTCATCTCTTTTGGGGAAAAATCATAGGAAAAAGAGATTAAAATATACATTAATTCTCAACAAATTAATATTTATTGAATGTCCTCTAGTTCCTCTAGTGCTAAATTCAGTTGTAGGTACTTGAGCATATGTAGCAACTTTATGAACTTTAATTTTAATAAATAGCTTAATTTTAATAGTTAATTGATCTTTCCTCCAGCCCAGTTTGGCTGTTTTTGAAAAATTTTTTTCTCTATTAGGTAAAGTTTAAAATACTTTAACTTCCATAAACAGTTTTCTGAAATTTGATTGAGAAGACATTAATTTATACAGTAAATTTATTGCATTAATTTACAGAATAAAATGGTAGATAAAATAGGGAAAATAAACATATTTGGATCTTCCCATCAAAAAGTTACCTTACCTTGGTATGCTCTAGTTTCCCTCTTTAAAAAAATGAGGATAATAATCTTAACTGACTTATGATATTTCTGAGACAGCTAAGAAATCACCTATGTAAAAAAATCTTAGACAATTCCTGGCACATTAAAAGAACATAATAAATGGGAGTTACTATTATTATCATTATTGCCTATCTTTTGTATTTATGCCTTTAGACTACAGTTCATAGCTTTATCCTTAATATTTTATAGGTTTCCTTACTATTTTTCTTTCCACTGTGTGTTCTAGTTGTTTATTGCTAACACAGATAAACACATTGAAAGGTACATTTATCATCTGAGTGTTCATGAAATCTCCTGTATGGTCTTTTCCCATTTCTTCTTCTGCTTTGGCTGTGGTTATAATGGGAAGTTTCAAGGGTGAAGAATCAGAGGTCAGATTCAGAAGTGGGTAATGCGTTATTTCCTTACAGTGTTGTTCTGTATGATTTCCCAAATCAAACACGAATACATTTTCACTTCTGCATTGGTCATACTAATACTCCCGGTGACCAGTTCGGCCGTACTGGAGAACGGACTGAATGTATTGAACATGGCAGGAAAATCCTTGCCATCAGTGTCTTTGAACACTGACTTATGTAAAATAACCATGAACTCTACAACGAGCCATTTGATCTAAAGGTTAGGAAGGAAATTGTCTTGAGACACCTGAGAGAACTCAGGATGTCTGTCCCAGAAGAGGCTATAGCTTGGCAGATTCCAGCCATTCCCGTGATGTCCAACAAAGGATGCAGCTGATTGGCTAGAATGTGTAGCTGTGGTACCCTAAACAAGCGATGTGCTGAGTAGCAGGCAAGGTCGAACACAGCAGCAATTTCATCTCTCCCTTGAGCAAACCATCAAGGGGGTTTGTCAGTTCATCAGGTAGCTGAGTCACATCATCAATATTCAAAAGAAGAGTATAATGACCTCTGATTATTAGATTTAAAACTTCTTCACAAAAAGTTATCTACATAGATACGTTTTTCCTCCTCCTCCTCCTTTTTTTTTTTTTTTTTTTGGCTGTGTCCAGATTTAGGAAGTGGTCACACAAGTACAAACTTCTTTGTGATTTTGTCTTCTTTCAAATGTCAGCAGAGCTCACACGGTTTTTGTCCAGATCATTTGAAAGTGTGTGTTGCTATTCTGAACACTGTGAAGTCTTTTCTTCTCTCTACTCATTCTCATGAGGCTGGTGCCCCCTCAAGTGTTGCTGGCCTGGTTCCACGATGTCAGATGTATGCGGCAGAGAAAGGGGATACACCAGCAGCTGGAGTGACTGAGCGGAAGGAAGGAGACGAAAACATATTAATCCCATTGGAAGCAACAGGCACTCTGTTGAATGCTCTCAGATACAATACTGCGTTTAATGCTCCTAACCATCTCACAAGAAGAATATTGCTATGATGATTTTCACACAAGAAGAAACCAAGCCTTAGGGAAATGAAGATCTCTTTAGCTCCAAAGCCCATGGGCCAGAAGCTGTGGCTCATTCTGAGTTCTGAATTCTAGCTGCTTCTATGTACCCGAGAGCTTAGGTTAGGTCTCCAGGAAGCCTGGAGGTCCGAACTGTGTAATGTCAAGGCCAAGGATGAGTCTCATTACCTGAATCTATCTATATGACAAGGGACTTCTTTCTCAGCAACCTATTCCACCAAGAGCTCCCCATGATGGACAAGGCAAAACGCTTTCCATGCAAATAAAACCCTGGGAATGCTATTACTTTGCTATTTCAGCTCAAAAATCCTCTTCGCATAAGCAGGTCACACACTTGCAAGACTTCCTAGGTCCGCTTTTGCTTAGTTGTGTGAAGATCAGACGAAAGGGGCCGAGGAAGCTGTAGGCAGACAGAATTAGTGGTAATTCTTTCCCACAGTACCGCCCTCCATTCTTCTAACATACCTCAAGTGCATGCCCTCGGCCAGAACAGATCTGGCGAGGGGAAGATTAACAATGATGACAAAAATAGGCCCTGACTTGATAAAACAAGTATCAACTGGGGCAGGGGACAAGAGCGGCCCATAACTAGCCTCGGATCTAATAAGCTCTTCATCAGCACAGGATTGCACCATCTTAAGTATGTCACCTCGTGCTAACTCTGCAGTTAGACTTTCTACCACTGCCCTTGAACTTTGTCAATATTTGCAAACGGTGGGGGAAAGAGGATATAGATCTGCATGAGGGGTAAATGGAAGACATTCTGGAGTGACTTTTGGCTTTCTGTAAACTTGTAATTCCTGACTCGTTGATCTTTCAGGACCGGCCTTTGGGGACGAAGTTAGGCAGGCGGGCATTTCCTGTGACATCCCGTGGATCGAGGGGCGGGCAGTAAACTTCCATGGAATAAAACGGGGCTTTGTCTTGATCTGAGCTCCCCAGTTTCCTCTCAAGATAAGGATGAGCTCACCGAAGCTATCGTCTCTGGATCAGTAAACACTCCGCGTGGGTCAAATTCCAGCCCCAGACCCTGGGCTCCTGCACTTCGGGAACGCATCGATTTTCCCTTTCCTGAGGCTTTGGGGTGAGAGGTCAGGGGGTGGGGGCATGTGTGCTCGGACTTCCTCTGTCTTCCAGATCTGCCCGCATCCACGCTGCTCCCAAAGCGAGTGTCTCCCACTGTCGGTGTCCGGAGGATGCGCCCCTTCGCCTCCTCTTCCTACTCCCCTTGGGTCACCCACACAGACTCAAGGCAGGATTTTGTTTTGCTTTTTGCCTTGCTGGGGATGGGCCCAGGGCCTGACCGATGCTCAGCCCCAAGCTGTCTGATTTGCAAGCTGGTTTCCTTTCCGATCGCTTACCCTTTGCACTCTGGTCTTTCCTAAATAATATCTCCCCCTCCACCCACTTCTCCCTCACCTGTGGTGGGACCTGCACACCCGTCGTGGTGAGGCGGGTGTTTGATGCCCTCCCTGCCTCTGTAACGTCAGGCCAGCCCTCGGGGGGGGACCGCTTGTGAAGACAGGGCACACACGCCTGTCGGTCTCACTGGTCACCCCACCTGCTTCCTTTCCCGGGAGCTCAGGGAGGGTTGATTTGGGGTGTTCCATCGAACAAAGCAAAGAAGAAAGGAACGAGGCCCAATGATGGCATTTAAAATGCCAGTGACCGCCTGTGGGGACAACCGTGAAGGGCACTCCTGAAGGCTAACGCGAAATCTTCCTCTTTCCTGCAGATTATGGAGCACGTGGTACCTGAGCAGATCTCACTGATGCGGAACTTGAGGGGTAGGCATGGAAGAACAAAGGAGAACTCAAAAATAAGTCATGGGCCAGGCTTCAGAGGCGGCTCTGCTGAGCTCATAGCCCACGCTGGTGACTGCTCCCACCTTCCAGCTTCATTCAGGGCCATGGCCAACCACCAGGGCCATTGGCTTGGTGCAAACTACCCTTCAGCTACACAAACCAGCAGGGGACTGTGGAACCCAGTCCAGGACCCAGCTCCTTCTGCCCACCACGGGTGCCGCTCTCTCCTAATGTACTTCCCACAGCAGAAGTTGTGCTTGCTCGCTGAAAAAATTCAAACGCTGCAGAAATGTATAAACAGGGACATTGTCCCCTAATCCAAATGCATCCTTACTGCCTTCTGCTCCTTAGAGGTAATATTTATTATGTCAGTACATGTTCTCACACTTTGTGTGCACGTGTGAGTGTGTGTGCATGCTTAGAAGATACTACAGATAAAGATATTTCAACTCGAAAAAAGATAAAAATTAGACCCATATTATACTAAAACATTCCTATATTTACTTTTAAAAGTCAACAATGTACTGTGGCTAACTTTTTGTTTCACTGCATAGCTATATCTCAACCTCACAGTTTTACAGATGCATAAAATTACATAGGCTGTGGTATTAAAATAC